TTTTTAGTGTGTTCAGAAGTATTCAGAAATATCTCAGATAACACAGTTAAATACTGTGGAGTACATTTCTGAAAGCTTTCTCCTTTCCTTTGACTAGAAAGCTGAGAGTGGTGCCTTGGAAGTGGAGATTTGTTCTTCCATCACTGTTGGCTAATATCACGCTGTTGGTACTAAGCAGACTTGTAAAACACCTTCATTGTCCTCAGTCTTTTTATGGCTTGCCTGTTGAAGTAAGCAGCATCTATTCTCCTACAGAACAGTCCAAACAGCAGTGCAGACGTATTTCTGTAGAATAGGTGTTTTAAGTAGTAGTTTTCTTGTTAACATCTTTAACAAATGGATGTGTAGCATTCAGGTTCCCAAATGAATCATCTATATAGTTTGCAAAGTATGTTGTAGAACAGAGTGAGGTTGCACAAGTAATTTTTGTCATCAGTCTCTTATTACATATATAGCATATGTGTGCAGTTAAAAATGTCTTTTATCTATTTGAAACTGCTGTTAGTGACAGACCACTAAAGATGTTGAATTGCTGTTGATAGTCTATTGTTATTTTTTTTACTATCAGTTACAGCCTTTAAATTTAGAAGAAGCTCAAAACAATTATACCAACCACGACGCTTTATATTAGCATTGAGTGTAAGAACTTTCATTTTTAGTGATGTCTAATTCTTGCAAAAAATATTAAAGTTTGCAGTTGTATTTTTCAGTGAGAAGTGTTTCATCTTTTACAAGATTCTTTGTGCAAATTAAATGTGGTTTTCTTCTAAAAGGTGTGCCTGCTGCTTCTTTGGTAACCCCTGCTGATGTCATCAAGACAAGACTGCAAGTGGCAGCCCGTGCTGGCCAGACAACATACAGTGGAGTTATTGACTGCTTTGGAAAGATTCTAAGAGAAGAAGGCCCTTCGGCTTTTTGGAAGGGAGCTGGAGGTGAGAAAAGCACTCTGAATATTAAGGCTGACTCCGAACCTGCAAATTAGCACTTCCTTAGTTAAAGACTCAAATCAGAGCAGTATTTGAAAAAATAACATCTTGTTATAAATGTTTAGCTTCTCTCCCGAGAAATTCTTTTCCTTGTTTGACACTATGATTTGTGGTATTTAACAGCTCGTGTGTTCAGATCTTCACCCCAGTTTGGTGTTACTTTGGTCACGTATGAACTTCTGCAGAGATGGCTTTACGTCGATTTTGGAGGCCTGTAAGTCAAATATTTGTTTTTTTAGCTTGAACAAAAAAAGCCCCACAACACCTTGCTTTTTTCCTATGCATAAGACTCCTTAAACTTGGTGACTTTGAGCACCTGTGCTTAAAATTGCAGCGTGCAAAAAATCCCCCCATCCTTGTATGATTGAGAGAAACTTGCATGCTACTTCTAAACATATGAGGAGCTAAAAAGATGTTTCATATTTATTTTAATACACTACATAAAATTTGTATTTCTATTGTAGCAAGATACTTTGTCCATTTTCCCCATGTCACAGGAAGTTCAAAGAATTTACACAAAGCTGTCACTAAATGTGTAACTTCAGTTTTGGCCTCGATTTCCCATTAAGTAGTGGTCAGAACTCAACTTTACTTGACCATAGAAGTGAATTAAGGTCAGCTTTAACAGTCTTCCATCTTCAGACAAAAGCTTTAAGTATCTAGTCTAGATTTCGTAAACTTATCCAGGCTTAAGAAAACATTTTAAATAAAGCAAAGGCTTTTTTTCTTTTTCTTTCTTCAAACAGCAAACCTTCTGGATCAGAACCTACCCCAAAAACTCGCATTTCAGATCTTCCTCCTGTTAACCCTGAGCACATAGGTGGATACAGACTTGCTACAGCTACATTTGCTGGTATAGAAAATAAATTTGGGTTGTATCTTCCAAAGTTTCGATCTCCTGGCATCGCTTCAGCTCAAACAAAAATAGCAGCTGAATCCTGAAAAGATGTTTCAACCTAACAAAGTGATGCAGTGGAAGAAGTTCACAAGAGTAGTACTGTATTTTTTCCAGTCAGCTGCATGTTGTTCTAGCTGAACTGAGCTTGCAAATCTAATTGCTCCTTTCTAATATTAATACATACCTGCATTTGTTTATTTGCACACAAAGAACTGACTGAAGCTGTGGTTCTATGCCTTGTTTTAACCAGTGGCATGAATCTGTAGTCTAGACTTTGCCTTGCACAGCTTGCATTTAGTGTTACTGTACATATTGTACATCTTTGTACAGAGACATCATGGCATCTATACACCTACATTTATATAATGGGTATTGCAGTTCAAACCAGTTTGAAATGTACAGAATGTTTTGAAGGCATTTTGTTAACAATCGTGACAATAAAATATTTAAACACACCTAAATCAATTCACTTCTTTGTGCTTATAGAAAAGTTGCCCAATGTGATTTTTTTTTTTCCTCCACAGATTATAGGTTAAAATTTAAAGATTAGATGCACCCATTTAGTGGAGGTACAGTACAGGACACAGCCTCTGAAGGAATGCATTTCACTGCTAGTTACAGCAAAGGCATTAAAACGCAATGTGCTGGCTTGTTAAGCGTAAGAGAACACAGTAAGTAGATGAGCACATGCAATATTTTATTTTGCAGCACTACTTTGTAACAAAGAATTCCCTTGAAATATACAGTAATACTAAATGCGTAATAGATCTTACCTCTGTGGTAGCATATTTAAAACACAGTGAGATATTTGCCAGTTATTAGCAGACTCAAGAATTTTTACCAAATTTATTACTCAGAGTGCTTTTTTCCCCCAGAATGGGAAGCTTTTTATAAAAAAAAAAAAAAATAATGAAGGCTTTCTCTTTATTTCTAGATTGTTTTACCATTGAAAGATTAGGTTATTTGGGAGGGAGGGAGGGGATGGACATGAGACTTCTATGTTCTTTTTATATGCTAAACTGATTGTTCAGACTTCCAGTTTAGTGGAATGCTAAGTAAAAAGAGAAGAAAAAGGAAAAGGTTGAACTATTTCTGGCTTAGTGTCTGCCAAAAGTTTATCTGGTATAATTTTTGAGTGCAAAAACGTCAGAGGAAATAGGGGAGTCTAGAATCCTACAGTCCTAGAGGAAAATCAGTTATACTACCCATACAGCCAGAGAAGCGATAGGTGGGTTTCCAGCCTTGCTCACTGAACTATGACAACCTCGAATCTTTACTTTTACATATTTCTTTCAGGATTAAACACTCTGGAGTACAGTGTATTCCAGCAGCATAAACCGATTTGAGGTTCTGTTATTTTCTTGCTCAGGTGACAGCAGGCCTATATGAAGAGTTTTAGTCAGCTTATGAAAAAACAGCTTCTTAAAAACTGAATACTGCACACACAGACAAGCCCTTCTTCAGTTCTATGCAAGATGCAAAATCTTTTGATGCTGAATAAAATTTAGTGAGCTAGAGGTTATAATACATTGAACTTGAGAGTTGAATCACTATTCTGCAACAAGCATATATGTATATATCTCTATGTATCTATATCTATATAACACCCCATTAGAAGGCTCTGCCTGTCTTCATTTTTTTTTCTGTTAAAAGAATTACCTGTTCTGTAGAGTTTTCTAGAGACAGGCTTCCTAGGAACCATCTCCTGAATCTGTGTATTTTGTTCTGCACTTTTCTAAATAGATACAAAAATGGTAGGTACCCACTGGCGTTTAATCTTAGTCACAGCTTGTTGACTGGCTTGATCAAGGCCTTAGGAGACTTCACAATGCAAGACAGCATTTGTATTTCGTACAGCTTCAAAACTGGATAGTGTGGCTCCCAGGATGATCTTTTACAGTACCTAGCATCACTGCAGGTCTCTTAATGTTGCAGGTAAGGGTTTTACAACATTTTTAACCTGTACTCAACTATGTTGGTGAGGGAGGAACACAAGCAGG